TATACTTCACAGATTTCAAAATCCTTTCACATGTCTCACAGGGTCTTTATGGACACAGAATGAGAGGGCAAGAAAACAAATAGGCTCAGGAGAAGGGGATGGTTTGCCAGAGTCACAGCAAATGGCAGAGCCATGTCTAGACTCCAGTTCTTCTGACTACCCATTCAAATATCCAGTCCTCAAGTACTGGACACTGTCATGCAGTGGACACTTGTTAAAGTGAATTTTACTTCAGTAGTAATGAGTCTTCCAGCACACTAAAAATAAAGCCTTTTTGCATTTGTGGCCACAATTTACCTTTACAGCAGCCCACAGTGATCACCAGGGTCCCACGATATATAGATAAGTCTGAATACAGACAAGGAAGTTTTTGGGAAATTACAGGGACTTGGGCCAGGGAGCTCCCCCTGAGATGAGATTACTTGGAATCACCAGGACTTTTGGTCCTCGTGCTCTCTAAGGTTTCCATGTGGGCCTTGCCCTCTGTGCTGCTTCTCATTGGCTGTGAAGATGTGGGGGACAGGAGAGCCTCTCAGTTGGCCTGGCCCCGTTTGTGAGCAGTGCACCCAAGCTCAGGGCGTCAGTCAGGGGCCTTCTGCAGGGGCAGCTGGATGGGAGAGTGCTGACCGTTGGAGACTCTGCTTATCAGCTCTGGTGGCATGTGCACAGTCCCTGCACAGCTCCTGAGTGTGCTCCAGACTTGCTGTCCTTCACAGTGCCTCGGCTTGCTCCTTCATGTAACATGTCAATGAAGAAAAATGCTGGTTTGAGGAAGGGACAGACTTTTCCATCTGGGATGTGTCAGCCAAACTAGAGGAGGAGGGAGGAAGGCCTGACATAGGACAAATTATTTTCTTCTCACAGTGGAGGTGTCACATGCTAGGGAGTTTCAGGAGGGCTGGGCTGCCACTGCCCAGAACTCTCAGTGGGAGACAAGTCTCCCAAGTTGGGTGGTCTGTGGAAAATGGGCTGGCTCCAAGAAGCCAGGATGCCCTCCTGTCATCCTTCCACCCTACTCCAAAACAGCCCATCTCCATCTCTTCTTCTGCCCTTTCCTCCTCTCACCCAAATCCTGCCTTTTCTCTCCTGTGGTTGCCCAGGGAGTAGCCAGTCAGCTCCGTTTGCTGCCGCTCCTCTTGCAGCTGCCAGCCAGCCCAATAGCCTCACAGATGTGGGCAGCCTCCTGGGACCTGGAGTGTCAGCTGGAGGTGTCCCTGGCAGGTAGGTCCAGAAATGGAGGGACTCGCCTTAGAGCTAGCAGCACTTTGCCAGCCTGATTGCTCCCTTGGCCTACTCACCTCCCCTCATGCTCCCTTCTGGTCTGTGAGAGCACCATGGGTTTTTGTCCTCTGATCCCCTGCTCACCTTTTGTCCCTGGTCCTGGAGGAGATGCATCCTGGCTTTTCTCCCTATATGACAGCATCTTCGGGATGGCTGGTCAGGTCCCCACCCTCCAGTCTGCCACACCTGGCGGCAGCAGCAGCAACACAAGCCTTGCCTTTGGAGGTGAGTCCTGTCTGTGGGTACCAGGGCCAGGAGAGGAGGGATGCTGGACAGAGAGAGGCACACACCAAATTTAGAGGAATACGCCATCATCACTGAATAAGGCAAATAAGAAAAAAAAAAGATAACTGTCTCTTTCTCCCGCCTCTCTGGTTCCTCCCTGGGCAGCCTTCACCAATCCTTTCACCGCCCCCGCCCAGCTCCAGCTGCCTTCCACCAACCCGTTCCAGCCCAATGGCCTGGCCCCAGGTAAGCCACGTGCACTGTCCCTGCCTTGTTCGGACTCTGCAGAGCGTCAGCTCACCTGCAACTCCCAGCCCTTGCCTTTCACGGTCTCCCCCTACTCCTGCTGATGCTACTATCTACCCGCCCAGCCCAGGCCCTCAGTTCTAGGCTGCCCAGCAGGATAAAGGAAAACCCCATGTCACAGAACTGTAGGATTGGTTTAGGGGAACCAGTTCTGAAGGTTGCTTTCATGTTGACTCATAGTGGCAGTGCTTCTCCTGTCTCCATCCTGTGTCCCTCTGGGCACCCAGCTTCTTTCCCTTTTGTGCCCCAAGCCTAAGTCACCAGGAAACTGCACTCCTTTTGTCTGCCCTCATTTAGCCAGGAACTGTGCTCTCCCCACCCTGGCCCTCCACAGCCTCTGCTTCTGTCCCCTCCAACTCCTGGTCATCCCTGTCCTTGGCTCACTGAAGCTCCAGGGCTGGGAAGAGAAGAACAGCTGCAGAGCTGAGCCACATGTGGAGCCATGCCGAGGGGCTCACAGCCGTCAGTTCTCACGGCAGCCCTGTGAGATGTGTGCTGTGCCCATTTTAGAGATGAGAGAATTAAGGCTCAGAGCAGGGTAAAAACTCTCGTGTGTGCAGTTTGATAGTCACAGAGAGCTGCCCCAGTTCATTGCTGTGCCTGCGTTCATAATGACTGTGCCCTCCATGCCACAAGCCCCATAAGCAGGAAGAGGGCAGGTTCAGAGGTTGCAGGAGAAACTGCAGAGTTCTGGGGTTCATGAAGGATCCTGTGCCCCACTTCCCACCAGGGGAGTTTGGGAAAAGTTGTTCTTAGTCCACCTGCAAGAAACTTGCTTGATTGAGTCTCATGTCTTATTCCGCAGGGCCTGGCTTTGGGATGAGCAGTGCTGGGCCTGGTTTCCCCCAGCCAGTGCCACCCACGGGGGCCTTTGCCAGCACCTTCCCCCCAACACTGTTTCCCCCACAAACCTCACTGGCTCAGCAGCAAAATGGTAAGAAAGCCATATGTGCCCTCCTGTGCCCCCTGCTGCTTACTCTTCATGGACTGAGTCCTTTCGTGTCCTTGGGGGTTGGTTCCAGCACACCTACAGATGCTCAAGTCCCTTATATAAAGTGGGGCAGTAGCTGCACGAAACTTCTACATGACTTACAAAACCTAATACAATGTAAATGCTGTGTAAACAGTTGTTTTACCCTACAGTTTAAGAAATAATAATCTAAAAATGCCTATGCCTATTCAGTGCAGATGCACTTTTTATATATATATATATATATATATATTTTTTTTTTTAAATCTTTGGTTGAATCTGAGGATATAGAATCCACTGTACCCACCCACAGACTTCTGCATTAGTTTCCTTTTTAACCAGTAGGGGGACCAGGGGAGCAGCAGAACAGTCCTTGTCCCCTGACTGCTTTATGTTCTTTATTTCTGAATTCTGGAAGGGCCCCTCTTGCTGTCACCTTGGAATAGAGCCTTTGTCCTCCAGGACAGTGGGGCAGCAGCATGAGGGTCCAGACTTGTCAGCTGAGTTACTGCTCTTGCCTACCAGGCTCCTCCTTTGGGGACTTAGGATCTGCCAAGCTGGGACAGAGGCCACTGAGCCAGCCAGCGGGGATCTCTACCAACCCCTTCATGGTGAGTGCCCCAGTTGGCGCTGGGAACAGAATCCTTCCAGAAGGAGCTGTGCACCCTTCCTCATGGAGCTCTGTGTCGCCCAAGCCAGGGAGGAGATCAGCTATAGGGCTTCAGTTCTGGGCCCTGCCCCCTCTAGTGCACCTTCTCCCTGACTCTCCCCTTCCTCAGCACAGTAGCTTCAAGAGAGAAAGGGATCCTGAAGTATATGTCTGTGTTTCTTCTATGGCCGACAACTGTTCTCCCCTAATCTAATAACTTTCTGTTGTTTTCTTTTTAGACTGGAAGCTCATCGAGTCCATTTGCCTCCAAACCTCCAACCACAAATCCATTCTTGTAGCACTGTGTCTTGGGGGCCCTCTTCCCTGCTTCCTGGGGCCCCTCTGCTCCCTAGAGCTCTGGTGACCACTTGCCTGTGGGCATCTCTATGGATTTGAGACCAGAAAGGGCCTGGTTTGCAGGGCAGGGGCCCTGGGGAAGGTGGAGGTGCTAATGCTTTGCTTGGGGCTTCCAGATGAATCTGTCTTGGGTCAGCCACCCAGAAGCTTCCTCCCTTCTCCCTCTGCCAGCTCCTTCCCAGCAGGAGGCCCAGGAGGACTGAAGGCAGGGCTGGCCTGGAGGAGCCATGGCAGTGTGTTTTTTTTTCAAATTATGAATTATGAAGACAACCCTCCTCCCCCTTGGCATATACATGGAGCTCCCTGAAGACTGAGGAGGTCGCGGGCATGGCCTGGATGGCCTTCCCCATAGGACCCACGCTTGCGCCATACCCAGCTCTCCAACACTGTGCTTCTCCTGGACACTACTGCAGTGGGGAAAGCAGGGGAAAGATGAGGCATGGCAATGGTGTGGGAGGGCGGCCAGACAGCCCAGTGCCCTTGGTGCCCTGGCGGGGCCACACCTGCTTCTGTCCACTTCCTTTTTTTGCTTCCCCAGCTCATCCAGTCCTGGCACTCAGGAGGCTAGTTTTACCTGCATACTGACACATGCCCAACTCTGTCAAGCACTTTAGTTAGCCTTTGGTGTCATGTTTGGATACCAGTGTTTTATATTTATACATAGAGAGAATTTTCTAATATAGCCTATTATATATATATAAATATATGTACACATATATATGCACATACATAGACACACACCCAGCCGTGCTGCCTCTCCCAGACAGCTCTTTAACATGGGGAGTGGGAGAAATCCCCATTTGTGCCTGGACCACCAACACTGAGGTCCCAGGGAATGGGAGGAGGGCAGCCATGTGTCCTGACCACCCCAGAGCCTGGGTTTTTCCAGGGAAAGGCTTCATGCAATTGACTGGGACTTGTTTTTTTGTTTTGTTTTCCTTTCTTTTTCCACATGCCTCACCCCCTACCAAATCTCTGCACCAAAGCTCGTTGCAGGCAATGTTAGAAAGAACTGCATTTGAAAGTAAAGGAAATGGCTCTCTGGTCTTGCTTTGGGCCAGCCTGAGGGATCACAGGTCAGCCAACTGACTGATTCTTGACTTGGCTCCACCGGTCTGGACTGCCTGGGCTGATGACCAGGCTGTGTTAACGGACGACAGGACTCATGACTGGACAGAGCCAGTCCCTGTCTGAACCTGAGTCCTGTGTTAGCAAGGGGAAGGAGCATGTCAGGAGTCCAGGGACAACCCCTGTGGATATTGGGCTTTGTTGGATGTAGTGAAGGGGCAGTACCCACCAGAAGAGGCAGCTGCCACTTGGAGATGGAAGTGGACCCAATGAATACATCAGCCTCCCTCCCCACCCCCAACTGTTATCAGCCTCCACTAGATGTTTCTACCCCAAGCTGTTGTGTCAACAGCCAGGTGTCTGGACTGTTTATGTGGTGACAAGACAGTCACTGGGTAAACATCTCTGAGGCTGAGGCCTAGGACTTGGCCTTGCTGTTTTTAACCCAAGGCCAGGAAAGGCCCCTCCCCTCATACCATTGCCCTGGAACAGCCCTTGAGCTGTCATTCTTGGGATTGCTATGGGTCTTCCACTAACAGCAACAAGGAAATGTAGGGATTGGGTCATCAGTTTATTTGCTTTGCAGAATTTGCTGGAAAGACCTCTAGTTGCTGCTGTTTGCCCAGCCAGGCTTGGCCTTCTCCTTTTCCAAAAGTCAATTTCCACCCCGCCTGAGTCTGCGTCCCCACTCACCCAGCCTCTCCCCTCCTCTCTCTTGTTGGGGGTCTCCCAGGTGTACCCATCCTTTACTTCCCATGGAAATTATCTCTTCCTGCTCTCCCAGTATTTTTCTCTACCACTTGTTTATCACTCTGTCCTCCCTACTGCTGTTTCCCATTCTTTCTTTCTGCTTAGGGCCAAGAGAGAGAAGCTAATATCTGGAGCTTATTTTCCCCTTAGCTTCAGTCACCCTTTCCTAGCTCCAAAAAACACTGAGGTTTGAAGAGAGCTAAATGGCTTTCCGCCTGCGTTTCAGGCACACCATGCTGTCTCCCAGGGATTTTCTTACTGCCTTCTTGCTGCATGGGTTCTGGGCCTCCCTGCGGCCCTCCAGTCCCTCCAGTCCCTCTGTCTGACATGGACTCTAGCCAGGCTCACTGTCCAGGGACAGATCAGCCCTACAGCCCAGGGCAGAAAAATCAAAAAGTTTCTGGGCACAGGCTGAGGCTAGGAGTGCAACTGCTTCCCTTGGCATGAGCAGCCCCAGCCCTCCTCCATGCAGCCTCCTTCTCCAGGTCAGTGACAAAGCATGGAAAGAGCCCTGGACTGACAAAAAATGTCTGAAATGACTGGGCTAAATTCCTCCCTGCACAGCCTCGCCTGGCAGCTGCAAATCTAAACCCTCTGTGCATAGGCAGGAGGCTGGAGTGACACACCAGCTCCTCTACCTTCTAGCCAAGTCCTCCCTTGACACATGCCCCTGGCCAACACTGTGCCCCTGCCCTACAGTCCTCTGGTTTGGACCCAGTCTTCAGTGGGTTACCTGTGGGCAGTCCCTATGGGAGAGGGTACAGGGGACAGCCCCCAGGGTTCTTTCCACCTGGGACCCAAAAGGTGGGAGGGAGGGGCTAAATCTGTGGCACTCATTCACAGAAGAGAAAGACCCCACATGGAACTCTTCCCATTGGCTTCCTCCACCTGGTAACAAGATTCTTCCACCGGTGTGGAACATGGCACCTGGATGAGGATACAAAGGTAGAACCCTCAGGTTGGGAGGGGCACTACTGGTGGAGCTGAGGTTCAGCCACTTTTGTCCCTGGGGAGAAACAGGGCTAGGGCAATGTTGTTGCTAGGACGACTGGTGTAGACCAGCTGGACTCCAGGCTTTTCCTGGTATCCAGCAGGCCAGCTCACTGGCATTGACTACCTCCCCTGACCTCCCACCATTGCTTGCCCACTCTCCAGGCTCTCAGATTGCTGCTGCTTCCTGTGTTATCTTTACCCGACACTCCAGGGCTCAATGACACAATGTGGTTTGGGGCTGTCTGTGTGACAGTCACTGTGATTTCACAAGGACAGGTGTTGCAAGATGACCTGGTTGAGGGAGACCGGAAGAAGGCATGAAGAGAGCCTCCTTGGATAGGTTTGCAGCAAGCTTAGGGGAGTCCGGGTTCCCAGGCCAGCAGCACAGCAGGGGCGTGGGCCATTGAGGTGGCAGCAAGACTGGGAAGGGGAGGGGTGTGCAGACATCTTTTGTGACCCTGTCACTTCTCACATGGTGCCCACATCAAGCCTCTTGGCCTCACTGGCGCCTCTGGTCTTGAACGTAGTCCTGTTTGTATGGCTACTAAGGGATCCATCCCATACTTGCCTCTCCTTGGCCAGTATCCACCTCTGGGCAGTAGCCACTGCCTCCCACCACACCAGCTGATATGCAAAGAAGTTTCCTGACCCTGGATGGGACTTTGGCTAACCAACAGACACCTAAGCAGACCCTGCACACCTTGCCAGATGCCCATCCACCCATCCTTGGAAATGTTGGTTGGTTCCCTGCATCTTGCTCTCAGCATGGCCTTTGAAAAAGTGCTCAAGGGCCAGGTGTGATGGCATATGCCTGTAATCCCAGCAGCAAGCTGAAGCAGAAGTTTCATGAGTTCAAAGCAAGTTGTGCTGAACAACTCAGTGAAACCCTGTGTCTAAATAAAATACAAAATAGGGGGGCAGGGGTTATAGGTAAGTGGTAAAGCACTTGCCTAGCACATGTAAGGCACTGGGTTCAAACCTCAGCACCACATAAAAATAAATAAATAATGGTATTGTATCCATCTACAACTAAAAAATATATTTTTTTGAATTTTTTAATATTTATTTATTTTAGTTTTTGGCGAACACAACATCTTTGTATGTGGTGCTGAGAATCGAACCCGGGCCGCACACATGCCAGGCAAGCGCGCTACCGATTGAGCCACATCCCCAGCCCCTAAAAAATATATTTTAAAAAAATATAATACAGGGCTGGGGATATGGCTCAGTGTCCGAGTGCCCTTGAGTTCAATCCCCCCGTACCCACCTCCCAAAAAAAGGAAAGGTGCTAAGGGATCCCAGTACCACACACGGCAGGCTGTCTTCTCCAGTATTCAGCTCGGAAAAGGGCCCCATTTTCAGGAAGCCCTGCCCTCTTCTGCTCAGACTGCCTTTAAGAACTAGTCTAAGAAAAAGAACCAGGTTCCCTTGTTTCTGTTCTCTATCTGAAGGAGCTCTTTCCCAATACCTTTTCTCTTTTTCTGGTACTGGGGATTGAACCCAGGGGCATTCAACTACTGAGTCACAGCCACATCCCCAGCCCTTTTTATTTTGAGACAGGGTCTCGCTAAATTGCCAGATCTGGCTTTGAACTTGCAATCCTCCTGCCTCAGCCTCCAGAGATGCTGGGATTACAGGCCTGTGCCACCACTCCCAGCCCAATACTTTCTTTAACAGAAGCCACAGCTTGGCCTCTTCCCCATCAGGCCCTCAGTTTTCCCCTGCAGTAATATTGCTTGCCCATGGGAATGAGATCATGAACTCCACTGAAGTCTGATAAGGCCCCATCCTTATGAGACTTTATGTGTCACCTGGGCTTGTCTGAAGGTGTGCACTGGCCAGCACTATCCTGCCCCTGAACTGTGCAGTGGTCCTGAGAGCAGAATTGAGGCACAAAAATGTCCAACCCTCCAGCCCCAGCCAAACTTCTCAGTATGCAAAGGGCAAAGAGGACATGCACCAGGGAGCCCATACTTCTGTGAGCAGTGTCTTCAGCTGGTCCGGGTAGCATTTTTGGGGTGTGATGGTGAGGAGGGGGCTGAGAGCAATGGAGCAGCATGGAGGTGTCCCTGAGAGATGGCCTCTTTCTCTGCAGGTCCTTCGGTGGCTACTTAGGGATTCTGGGGGTTATGATCTGTGCACAAAGACCAGTCCAGAAGTCTACCTATCCCAAGACACCTCCTGTCACCCCAAACCCACAGACAGACTGAACCTGCAACTCAGAAATCAGACCAGCCCACAGCTCAGCAGCCATGGCTGTCGGGGCGATTTGCAGGAAAAAGCACAAAATCATCTCTGAATGGGAACAGTGTACACAGGAGACCGACGCCTAGTGGTCCAGTGGAGTAATTAAGGCCGGAGGGGAGGCTGCTGTAAGGATGGCCCTCTTGGCCACCTTCTAATCGCTAGCGCCATCACCGCGAAGTCCAATCACACCCGCCTCACACATTGCTTTCGCGTAGCTCCTGCCTGCAGCAGGCGCTGCCCTTCTCCGCCCCCACAACTGGTCAGTTGATTGGCGGAGACGTCCGCACAGTCCCCGCCCCTACTAAGACATCGTCTCCAGGGGCGCAGGACCCCTCGTCTCCACTTGCAGACTCCAACTCCTGCGCCCTGGTGAGCGAGGGTAAACCTCGAGTGGGTGGGGATTCCGGCAGCGGTCGGCGTAGGGCGGGAGGGACGGGACCCAGCCGGGTCAACCGCGGAGGCCCTAGGGAGTGCTGGGTGTCACAGGCTACTGGGCGGCCACTGAGACACATGCTGTGTGTCCCAAACTTTAGAGAACCGGGGAGAGTCGCCGGCACCTAGACGGTCGCAACCTGTGGGGTCGCTGCTCTCCCTCCTGGACCTGACACTTCAACCCCACTTCGGCTGGCCTTTCCCAGCGGCCCAGGGAACGAGACCCAGCGGATCGGCTATTCCCCGGCCAATTTATTGCCTGTGGCCCGGGATGAACGCCGCAGGCGGCGGCCCCACAGCCACCCAGGAGTTGGAGTCAGCGGACGTGCCCCTCTGCCCGCCGCTGCCCTGGCCCTGTCCCTGTCCGGCAGACGTGCGGCTCTGCGGCCACCTACGGAAGCAGAAGTCCCAGCGCCGCCGGTTCTTCGTGCTGCGGGAGGACCCGCCGCGCCTCGAGTGCTACGAGAGCGAGAAGAAGTTCCGCTCGGGCTGTAGCGGCGGGGCGCGGCCCCGGCGCAGCGTGAGCCTGGCGGGCGCGTGCACCATCAGTAAGCGCGCGGACGCGCGCCAGCGCCACTTGATCGTTCTTTACACGCGCGACAGCAGCCTGGGCGTCGCAGCTGCCAGCGAGGCGGAGCAACAGGTGTGGTACAATGCCATGCTCGAGGTGCGCGCCGCCGCCGCCGCCGCCGCCGCGGGTGAGGCTGGAACACGGGCTGTCAAGCCCCGGGCCACCAGGAGGGTTAGGGCGGTGGGGTTGCAGACCTGGTTTATCTGAAACCTGTCCCTCTCACAGGTCAACTCCCGAAAATTCAAATATTAAGCGTTTACACGTCTCCAATTCTCCGGGGACGGTGACTCCAACCTCCCGCCCAAGGAATCCCCTGTGATCAGCCCGTTGTCCTTCCAGGTCCCAGCTCCCACGAAGACCCCGGGGCCTCGATCCTCGCTCCGTTCCAGGACGTCTGGTCTGTGACGCTGCGGCCCAAGGGTCTGGGGCGAACACGAGGCCTGGGCAGCGGCGACTACCGCCTATGCCTGGGTTCCGGGTCGCTGAGCCTACTGCGGAAGCCGGGGGGCAGAGGATCCCGGGACACCCAGGGATTGTCGCCACCGGCCCTGCGCCTATCCCTGCTCAGCGTGCGCCGCTGCGGCCACGCAGACTCTTTCTTCTTCCTGGAGCTTGGCCGCTCGGCGCCCACGGGTCCCGGGGAACTGTGGCTGCAGGCACCCGATTCTGTGGTGGCCCAAAGCATCCACGAGACAGTCCTGGCCGCTATGAAGAGACTCGGAGGCAGTGGTGCCAGTGGCAGGCCTGAGCCACCGTCCAGGGATCCTCCAAAGAGCATCTCCAGACCCCCTGTCCCCCAACCTTATGAATCCCCAGCCTCTGCAGCCCAGCCAAGAGGCTTGGTTGAGAGGATGGAGCAAGCAACCCTTAAGACCTTGGCAAGGCTGGGAGTGGCAGCTTCGTACCCCAAGGAGTCCGATGGGGGTGCGGGCTACATTACTATGGGAGCCAGGAGTGACTATGAGCACATGGGGGTTAGAGAGGCAGATGGCTATGTGGTAATGGGGCCCTCAGGTCTTCCTCTCGCTGACAGCGATACTGCCCACCAGACCCTTCAAGATTGGGGAGGCACGGAGTACATGCCCATGAAGAGCTTTCCACCAGAGCGCTTTTCCTACAAGTCCAAGGCCCAGAAGCCTGCACCAGAGCATAGCGGCAAAAGGGACGGCTGGGGACCTGCAGTTGCTCGGCCCTGCTCTCTGCCGCCGTCAAAGCTGGCTGGGGAGTATGTGTGCATTAAGTATGGGGCTCCAGACTTGGCAGAAAAGGACACTGCTAGGCTGGCGCCCTCCGATGGCTACCTCAATTATGTCGACCTGGACCTGGTCCCTCCTCTAGACGTTCGTGGCCACGGCCCAAGGGCCGGCCCGCACAGCTACGCGTGCATCGAGTTCTAGAACCTCTGGGAGGCGCCAGTGAGCAGACGGGGGCACTGGCCAGCGGAAGAATGTGAAACTCGCCAAAGTTACCAATGTCCCCCATCCCGCTCATGCTTTCTAACACCCCCTACCGCGACTAAAAGGCCAAAGTCTTGACCTCCAATCTGAGACTTGCAGAGGCACTGGGTTGCCCCTTGGCCAGCTCTGTTCTTTTAAGGGAGAGAATTCTAGAACCTCTTCTACCTCCCCCCAACCCCACACCTACCTCTTCCCCAAATTATAAACTTCTGGACTTTCTCAATTGAAAGCCTGATCCTGTTTCCCTAAAGAGTTCCTAGAGAATCAGACTCAGGTGGGCTCTTAGGCCACAGATGAAGGTTCCTGTTTGGCTTGGTGTTCCTGCACACACCTGTGGCGCCTTAGGGTGAATTCCTGGGGCCCTAGCTCAAGAAGAATGGAAGGATCTTAAAACACCCGGCCTCCTTCTTAGTCCACCTCTCCCAGTCAAGCACAAACCAGCAGAGCTGACCAAGTCCTTGCTTCCTATAGGTTCATCCCCAACTCTGTACTGTGGACCATCCCCCACCTATTAAAGGTACCCTGCTGGGTAACTGTCCTAGGTTGGTGGATTTCCCTGCCCCATGGTGATGGGGCAATGAGAGACAAGAATTTGAGGGAAGGACAGTCAATGCCATGGTAGAGGACGAGAGGCCACTCCTGCCTCTATTCTGCCACCTGTCACAGGGAGCTTGTTTTGCAAACCAACAGTTTTATTGTCAACAGAACCTGCCTGGTGAAGTGGGAGGCCCACTCTGCCCCAGGGGGCTATGGAAAATGGGTGTCTTGGGTCTGTGGAAGTAGTGGGTCAGTGTTTCCAGAACAGCTTTGGCTACCACTGGTGCCTAGGTGGTCAGAAACAGGAACAGGGGCTGTGCACCTGGCAGGGATCGGGGAAGTTGGCAGGGAGCTGGGTCTCGGATCCCCCTGACTCATCTGCAGCAGGCCAGTGAGGGCGATCAGTTCCGGCCCACTGAGCCAAGCAGTGGAGCAGCCCTGGGATGCAGAGGGGCAGACTGAGGGGGACATTATGGGGGGCGGCAGCAGCAGCTTCAGCGAGCCCATGTTCTGAGGAGAGAGAAGGGAAATGTTTCCTCCCAGGCTCCAAAGAAAGGCTCAGTGGGGGAGGGGTGGCAGGGTGGCAGAGGACAGTCACTCTCACCTGCTGAGGGGGCTCAGACAGGTACAGGGGTACACGCTGCCCACAGGGTAGCAGAGGGTCCAAAAGAAAGACATCTTCACAGCACATCACTGGGAGCCCTGAGGAAGAGAGCCTGCTAGGGGGGCAGCAGGGGGCTCCCAACCCAGCACCAGGATGCTATTGGAGTCTAGACCACTCCTCGGGAGCGAAAAGCACTAGGGAAGTACCTGCATCCCTGGGCGACTGCTCTTCATTCTGATGCCCTGGAGTGGGGGCCAGGGGCCTGGCAGCCCTGCCTGAGACCTCGTACATGGGCCAGAAGGAAGGATGACACAGTGTCCGGCCTGAGAAGGAGGCACCTGACCCACAGCTGGACCCCTGTGGAGCAGGAAAGTCACTGGAGCCTCAGTCCCTTCCCAGGACATCCTGCCACCCTGAGCCAGAACCACACAGTCCTCCCAACTCACCCACACCAGCCGAGGTCTTGGTTTGGCCTCATAGTTGGGGTCCCAGGGTGACAGCAGGGTCATCCTTGAGGGGGCCACCTCCCAAGCCACCTGGGGGGAAAGTGGGAGGGGGGGGGCAATTGAAGAGATTAGAACAGGCTCAGAGTCAGGGAGCCAGTCTTGAGGGTAGAGGCAGCCAGGCCTGTGCCTACCTGGGGTTTCTGGGGACTGCTGTGTAGCCTGGCCTGGGGGTGGGGGGCCAGCTGCTGCTCTCTCCCGCTCCAGGAAAGGCCCAGGGCCTGGGGCTGCTGGCTGGGGAAGAGAACGAGATGCTTCACTCACCATCCCCTTTCCAAAAACTTCCTTGGGCTTAGTGGCAAGGCCAACTGTGCCTGATCCCAGGGGAGACTGAATTTACGGTGCTGGGCAAAGGTGGAGGGTCCCCTGCTGTGCAGGGGCCCCAGCCAAGCCCCTCACCTGTCATGTGGGGGTGTTCCTGGCTCCCCCGGAGCTTCCTCTCCAGAGCTCCAGGCCTCCCCTTGGTCACTGCCCGCCAAGGGACCTGGTTCCTCCTGCGACTCCTCCTTGCCTGTGCCCCATGGCTGAGGCGGCCAGGGCAACATGCTGCGTCTGGTGGAGCACGGGGCAGCGCCGCTGTGCCCCCACGTCCGCTTCCCGCGGGCCCCGCTCGGCCTCCCTCAACCTAAAGCCGGGCCCTGTGCACAAGCCTAGGTCCACGGCCCACTTCCGAGGCCTCGCCACGACGCCTCGCCCAACGCCAGCGCCGTCTCCCTACCACGTGGCGCGCGCTCCCGCCGGGCTCCACCGACGCCCCCTGGCGGCGGGGTCCATCAGCCCGACCCCGCCCCGGGCCCCGCATGGGCGCGCTCAGGAGGGCGAGGGCACTTCAGGCCCCGCGTGCCCTGCGGAGAAGGGCGTCCAAGTTCCCGCCGCTCCCTGACAGACACACTCACACCTGAGGGCCAACCTAGGGGGCTTCCAGCTTCTCTTTATTGCGCTCACAACATCATGTCGGGTCTTCCATCCAGACCCTCAGCTGCAGGAGGCTCCAGGGCAGAGGGGAGCCCGAGGCCCAGGGTCAGGCCGGAGGCCACCCTCACCAAATCCTTTTTAGTGAGGTCTTCGGTTCCGGGGTCAGGTGGCCCTGCACCCCTACCTCCACCCCTAAGGCCGTTCCAGCAGTGCGTGGAGGACAGCAGCGATGTGGGGGAGACCCCTTCCAGGGGCCGCCTCCTCTTCCAGGATGTGGTGGGGCTGGCACAGGGACTCCTGGGGGGAGGGGCCCAGGTTAATTTCCCCCTGGTACCCCCTCCACTCAGGTTCCCTGTCCCGGGCAAGGTGTTAAGAGGTGAAGGTCGGGGACATCCTGGTAGACACTGTCCACAGCTTGGGGACAAATGATGCACATGAAAGCTGTCAGCAGGTAACAAAAAGGAGGTAACATACAGGACCAAGGTTCAGGGGGCAGGGGAGACCTGTCATTTCCAGAGGCAAATGCTGGCACAGGCAAGCTGGCACATGGAGCCCAAGGGGCCCCACCAGGACTGGGCCTGGCCACAGGAGGAGCAGATGCAAACACACAGGCAGCCACAGTCTGTACAGTTTATACACAGAGCCAGGGACCCAGCCTGGGCCCCCACATCCGCTACAAATATAGAGTTCTCTCTACAAAATAGAGATAATTTAGCCCCCCATAGCAGCCAGTGGGGGGGGAGAAGAAAGGAGGGGAAGGAAGAACCAAGCTCCCGCCCCTCCGGGGGTGGGGGGTCAGAAGGTGGGGCCTGGCTGGGTGGGAAAAGGACAGGAAGGCACCATCAGCACTGAGGGTGAGGGGCAGTGAGTGAGGGGCTACAGGAGGGGGCCCAGAGGCAGGGGGCCCAGCTCTGGGGACACCAGAGTGGGGCCTCTGAGGTCAGTGTTTGTGAGGGGGATACACTAGTGTCTTTGGTAGGGGCTGAAGGCACCACTGGTGGGGATAGGGTTGAACAGGAGTCTTATAAATAGAAATGGGGGGTGACTTCAGTCCTAGGAACCCAGGAGCCAGGTGTAGACGACACAGAGCAGCAGCATGAGGACGACGTAGAAGAAGACGAAGCCACCCAGACCAGAGGGGGGCCAGACAGGCGGGGGGGCCTTGCCCCCCACCCGCTTCACAGCCTCTAATGTGGTCCACAGCCCCTGGGTGGTGCCCTGGAGGAGATCCGAGGGCGAGCACAGGTCAGCCTGGGAAGGGAAGGTAGGGCAGATGGACAAGGACAAAGGACAGATGTCAGCAGCAGCAGCCAGTCCTTCCCACCCCTGCCCTCACATGCCAAGGCCAGAGCCATGCCAACATGCAGACATGCAGGGCTGGGAGACGTGCGGGTGGTGGCATGTGATATGCTTCCTCTAGGAGCAGACACCCCTGTGAACAGAACCCTGCCATCCATGCAATGTGACCAGCTGAGCCCAGGATACTGCCACCCTCTACAGCAGACAATAGCCCCCATAAATACCTCAGGTACCCCCATTTTTCGACAGGCTTCTAAGAAACTCTCCACATTCTTCCGAGACTTGAGGGCACTGAGCTTTGGCTGAGGATGGGTAAAGAAAGAAAAGAGAGTAAGGGAGAGGCCTCAGAAGTCCCTGACCCATCCCCTATTTCCTCCCTGCACCCCAACTGACCACAGCAGGTGAGGGTACATGAATGAAGGGCACAGAGCGAGGCCGTAGCTGATTGGCCAGCTGACAGAGGATGACCCCATTGGCCAGAGCCTCGCCCAGGTCCTCAGGCAAGGGCTGCTGCAGCCGTGACTCAAGGACCTGGGAGTAAGGGAGAGAGAAGCAGATGGGGTCAGTCAATAGGGAATGCACAAGTTCCCCTCTTCTACCTCACAGGAGGGCCAGGGTGAGAAAGGGTGTTGAGGGAGGGAAGAAGCTGGAGGAGGCACCATGCTGAGCCCAGGCCCAGCCCCTGAAGGTTCTACCTCTGCTTACCTGGCGCACTTGAGACATTAATTCCTTCTCATCTGGAACCTGGGGTGCTGGCCGAGGTCTCAAAACAGAGTCCGGGGAGGATGGGCCTAAGAAGAAGAGGAAGGCATGGGCTGTCTCCACTACACACACCATTGACTGCAGCCAGCTGTCAGTGTCCGGCACTCACACTTCTTGTCTCTCTGCTTGTGGGATTTTCAACACAAAGGGACAACAAACCCAGAAAGCTTGCAGACCAGTGTGTGGCACTAGTCTCATGGTCAGGGCTTGCTGAAGGTAGGCAGTACTGGGGAGAATGGGGAGACCCACCTGAACCACTCTGAGAGGAGGAACGGAAGAGGAAACTGTTTGGTCTCTGAATGGAGCCCAGTGGCCGGGGAACAGGTGCTGTCGCTGGGGGCCAAAGTCAGGGAGAAGGACAGATGAGAAAGACATCCCCTCAGTGTCCCACTCTTCCCTCAGGACACCAGGTCCCAATCACCCCCATCTCTTCCCAAAGTCTCTGTCCTACCTGGTCCAGTCATAGGCAGGGACTCCTGGGGGGGAGGGGCAGGCACAGGGACTCCCTGCCCCCCTGAAGTTCCCGGTTGTGGTTGTATAGTATTAGACTTAGGCAGCCCACTGAGAGACAGAAAGGGAATTAAAGGGGAGGATCAAGGAAAAGGTTTGTGGGCAGAGGTCACAGGGACGAAACCTACTTGTAGGTAGCCTGAGTGGATGAGGCAGCAGCACCTCCCCCAGCAGCCCTGATCCCCAGCTTCAGGAAACTGGAAGAAGATAGAGGGGGGAGTCAGCTGTGCCAGGCACCCCACGGACCTGAGGGGCAGATCAGCTCGGGAGGTGCCTGTGTCCACCCAGTCCCAGACCCACTGTCCAGCAATAGCTCCAGTCTGTCCTAAACCCACACCTGTCCTTCCTGGGGGCCCCCCACCCCCCACTCTGCTGTTGCTGCTGCTGCTGCTGCCGCCGTTCACGCTC